AGCCAATTCTGAATCCAATCTGCCACATTTCCCCATATCCCATGCTTCCTTACCTTCTTCATGAGCCTACCATGGGAACCTTATCAAACGCCTTACTTAAATCCATGTATACCACATCCGCTGCTCTACCTTCATCCATGTGTTTGGTCACCTCTTCAAAGAATTCAATAAGATTCTCAACCACTCTGATTTCTCTTGTTTCAATCGTGGCTTTGTAACTTTGGTACCACACAGTGAGGTAAGATCCCAGGAGATACTTTCTGTAACATCTCAGTTGCCTGATTTTTCTCTTTCTGAATTACATATCTCCTCATCTCTCACCATCAAAGACTGACTTGCTCCCATATGCCTTAAAAATCTTAATTTCTTTGTCCATATAATCACCTGCTCATCCTGGAACACATGAGTAAACCTTACCCACAGAAGTAAATTCTTCAAAGAGATCTGGCACTCTTCTCAACAAATTCCTGAACAAGCTGTACATAGTTTTCAGAGATAGTAGGAACTGCCGATGCTGGAGAATCTGAGACAAGGTGTAGAGCTGGATGAACACAGCAGGCTAAGCAGCATCAGAGGAGCAGGAAAGCCGACGTTTTGGGTCTAGACCCTTCTTCAGAAATGGGGAAGGGGAAGGGGATTCTGAAATAGATAGGGAGAAAGGGGGAGGCGGATAGAAGATGGATAAAGGAGAAGGTAGGTGGAGAGGAGACAGACAGGTCAAGGAGGCGGGGTTGGAGCCAGTAAAGGTGAGTGTAGGTAGGGAGTCAGGGAGGGGATAGGTCGGTCCAGGGAGGACGGAGAGGTCAAGGAGGCGGGATGAGGCTAGTAGGTAGGAGATAGGGGTGGGGCTTGAAGCGGGAGGAGTGGGTAGGTGTGAGGACAACCTGTCAACCGAATGAACAATACCCATATGGTCACCGGCCATTTTATTTCTTTAGCTACTTTCTCAAATGAAATCAAAGAGGCTTCTACGTCCTTCTCGTCGAACCTTGGCAATGCTACGACATATTTAAACAAATCCCCATCACGCCTTTGGCTACGATGGGTTTACTCTTCATCACTGCTCCAACGTTTTTTTTTAAAACGTTTACCTCCGCCATTTTAAGTCGACTTTCACTTTTCAGTGCCAACTTGCAAAGTTTGAAATCTCTCTTTATCCCTTTCTTCTGCTAGTTATTCTTTCTTTTTCCCTTGCCATTGTCTTTAATTCAAGCTGCTTCATTTACAATTGAATTTTAGCTATTTTCAATGATTCCAATTGCATTTTTGGCAATTGTAAATGCTGAGCTATCACTGCAATTATTTCTATTTTCCTGATGTACGCAGGCAATATCAACTTCAGCTTGTGTGCCAATTCCAAAAGGTTGGTCTTACCCATTTTCTTAAACAACTGACTTCTTCCAAACTCAGCAAACTCTTAGCCACTGAAAGGGATGCTAATACACAAGGCATTCCCTATTTAAACCAACTAAACAACACCTGAAAAGAGAACACCAACACTCACCACTCTGCCTTTGAGTCTAAAAATTCTAAACCCAAGCTGGAATTAGAGATTTTGTTCCTGGATAAGGTCCCAATTTGTTATGGATCAAACTGGACAAAGTAAATTATGGAGATAGCCTAAACCCTAATGTTTATATTTGTTAAAAGGCAAGTGTAAGGTATTGTGTTCCATGATTTGATTGATCCACCACTGAGCTTTAATCAAAACACACTTTATTCTTACAATACAGTTAAAATACAACAAAAAGAATTGGCATGGCTTTACTCTTTCGAAATACTTAAGATACTGTATTATTTAACTATTAATCATCATCTGTTCCAATATAGGCAGCATCCCATAAACACACCCCTGGAAAGGCAATTCAGCAGCATTTATTATTTTCTCACAGTCTCTCTCCAGTCCTGTAGAAAGAAATACAAAAAAAAAATATTTTGCCCCTTTTGATTTTTAACAGGAAGCCTCTCTTTCTAAGAACATAGAACAGCACAGGCCCTTCAGCCCACGATGTTGTACTGTTATCCTACTCCAAGATCAAAGTAACCTACATACCCTTCATTTTACTATCATCCATGTGCCTGTCCAAGAGTCGCTTAAATGTCCCTACTGTATCTGACATTACAGAGAGTGGTGGGTGCATGGAGTGCACTGCCAGCGGTGGTAGTAAAGAACCTACATCTGACATCTCCCCAATACCCTCCTCCAATCACCTTAAAATTATGCTTCCTCGTAATAGTCATTTCTGCCCTGGGAAATAGTCTCTGACTATCCACTCTATCTGTGCCTCTCATCGTCTTGTACATCTATATCAAATCACCTCTCATCCTTCTCTGCTGCAATGAGAAAAGCCCTAGCTCCCTGAACCTTTCCTCGTAAGACCTGCCCTCCAGTCCAGGAAGCATCCTGGTAAATCTCCTCTGCGCTCTCCTTAAAGCTTCCACATCCTTCGTACAATGAAGCGACCAGAACTGAACACAATATTCCAAGTGTGGTCTAACAGTCTTCTAGAGCTGCAGCATAACCTCGCGGCCCTTAAACTCAATCCCCCTGCTCATGAAAGCCAACACACCATATGCCTTCTTAACAACCCTATCAACTTGGGTGGCAACTTTGAGGGATCTATGGACGTGGATCCCAAGATCCCTCTGTTCCTACACTCTGCCGATAATCCTACCATTAACCCTGTATTCTGCATTCAAATTCGACCTTTCCAAATGAATCACTTCACACTTTTCCAGGTTGAATTCCAGCTGCCACTTCTTTGCCCAGCTCTGCATCCTGTCAATGTCCCGTTGCAAGCTACAACAGCCTTCCATGCTGCCCACAACTCCACCAACCTTCATGTCATTGGTAAAAACTTACTAACCCACCCTTCCACTTCCTCATCCAAGTCATTTATAAAGATCACAAAGAGAAGAGGTCCCAGAACAGATCCCTGCGGAACACCACAGGTCACCGAGCTTCAGGTTGAATACTTACCACCCTCTGTCTTCTATTGGACAGCTAGTTTTGTATCCAGACAGCCAAATTTCCCTGAATCCCACGTCTCCTTACTTTCTGAAATGAGCCTGCCATGGGGAACCTTATCAAACGCCTTGTTAAAATCCATACACACCACATACAATGTGTTTTGTCATATCCTTAAAGAATTCAATAAGGCTTGTGAGGCATGACCTGCCCCTCACAAAGCCATGCTGACTATTTCTAATCAAACTGTGCTTTTCCAAATAATCATAAATACTATCTCTCAGAATCCTCTCCAATAATTTGCCCACCACAGAAGAGACTGACTGGTATGTAATTCCCATGATGATCCCTATTCCCTTTCTTGAACAAGGGAATAATATTTGCCACCCTCCAATCATCTGGTAATACTCCAGTGGACAGTGAGGACACAAAGATCATCACCAAAGGCGCAGCAATCTCTTCCCTCATTTCCCATAGCAACCCTGGGTATATCCCGTCTGGCCCAGGGGACTTATCTGTCCTGTTTTTCAAAATTTCTAGCACATCCTCCTTCCTAACATCAACATGTTTGAGCACACCAGCCTGTTCCACGGCTGTCCTCAAGACTTCAGTCTAGCAGCAGAGAACTCAAGCTTTCAGCTCCAGTAGTCAACAAAACTCTCCAACTCACTGAACATAAAAACACTAACCCCTTGGGTCTGTGGGAGCCTGATCCTGCCCACATAGGATTCTTTTGTCCTACTTTATATAATAAAATTCAGGGAGAACTCAAAGCTGTTTACCAACTGCCTGTCTGGAGGAGTCATTTTGGCACCACTGTGACAACACCCATCTCCAAGAGGAACAGGACAGAACACATTTCTTAAAGGAACAGTATCTTCACACTAGAGTAAGAATAATTAGTCAAACCTCAATTAGTTATGAACTTAACTGGCCTAGATAAATTGGAATTAAAGGCTGGCAGGCAAATCTGTAACAAAACAATGGATTGCCTTTAAAGAGGAGATAGTTCAGGTACAGTAATGGTACATTCCCATAAAGGAGAAATGTTGCATAAACAAATCTAAAAGGTGATAGATATCAGGTGGACACTACAAACAAGAACCAGGCTGAATATAGAAGTTTCAGAGGAAAAATGACAAAATAAGTAAGTGAAACAATGAGATAGCATGAGAAGATACAGGCTGCTAACAGCAAAAGGAATCCAAAAATATCCTGCAGGAATTTAAGTGGAGAGATGATCATAACAAGAGAAGTTGGACTTCATTATGGGCCTTAAAGGAACTTACACATGGAGGCATAGGCATAACTGACATATTGAATAAATACTTCACATCCATTTTACCAAGATGATTTTGCCAAGTCATAATGAAACAGGAGATGGTTGAGACATGTTAGTTAAAAAATGATAGAGAAATGGTATTAGTTTGACTGGCTGTATATAGTTGAGAAGTCAAACAGATTAGATACATCCAAGGACACTGAGGAAAGGGAGGGTGAAAACTGCAGAGGAATGGCAATAAACTTCTAATCCCCCTGAGATATGGAAAGGTGCTAGAAGCCTGGAGAATCCTAAATATTTCACCCTTATAATAAGGACAAACAGGAACTACATGTCCTTCAGTTTATTCTCAGTGTGGGACTAGGGAGGGGAGGAAGCTTTTAGAAACAATAATTCAAAACAAAACAAAACGTCACTTTGCCAGATATGGATTACTTAAGGAAAGTACGTACAGATTTGTTGAGGGCAAATAACGTTTAACAAACAAGTAACAGAGACAGCGTATGAAATTCGATGAGCTTTTCTTGCAGGAAATCCTGGCATAGACACAATAGGCGGCACACCCTCTTGTGCTAAAAGCATTTGGTGATTCTCAGCAGCATTTAATGTGATTGCTGCACAAGTCCTATTTTGGTAATTCTCAACCCGATTAGGTAAATTCTTAAATAATTTATCCTGGGTGAAAAAATATATGCAAAGGTTTAAAATCATTGATTAGAACAGCATGAAGTAATGCACAGACACAATAACTTTGAATTAATGCTTTATTTTTTTGGATGTCGTTCTGATAGGAAACTCAGCACAGGCAATTCAAATCAAAACAAAAATAAATATAAGAACATTTATGTAAAATTGCTCTCCCTCATGAACAATTATACATAATGTACATTTTCTGTTAAACTCTAATTTCAAGGTCCCCCAACACTTGGGAGGGGGTCATCTATACCACTCAAAAATGCATTAAAATATCTCCATGCAAACTTAGCAAAAAATGAACAAAAACAAATACCAGGAGAACTTTTTTTAAACCTGCTTATAGTTGAAATTAAAATCAAACAATAACATTAATCACATTCATTTTTCTTCAAGTTCATATACAATTAAAATATTCTGGGTTCCTCACTATAGCTGCAGTAGTCACTTACATTTGCAATACCACAGGATTTGTCCACCATTGCCCCTTTGTGCAGCAGCTTTGTTCAATTAATAATCAGTATCAGAGCCTTCTGCATTGTCCACATTGCGAGACAGCATGTAATTGTCCATGTCTATAGATCTGCAGTTGTTGATAGCATAACGCAATCGCTCCGCCATGACTGCCTGACTGGAGTATGGGGGTAGACGCAATTGAAAGAAGCAGGTTTGTGAGGTAGGCAAGCTGTCGTAAGGCTGTCAAGGAACAGATATGATAATGAGTGGTGGTCAGACATAATTTAGAACACCAGATTATTGGATAGCAAACTTTAAACAATTCAACAGATCAGTATACACACAGGTACATTTAATTAATTCATAAGTCATACACTCTAGTAGACCATCAAAAAGTTAGCTTATAGTGTGTAAAGTAATGTGCTGCTGGTTTCTGATAGCATGTGAGATATTCATCTAGTCAAGGGTTATTTATTTAAAGTCAACTTCTATGGCAGCTAAAGGTCAAACTGAGGCAACTTTTACAAATCAATAATTATTCCAGGTGGGGCACAAAAAGATGTTGGAGGTTGACTGCATTCTGCTGGGCATGCGAGAAGGAATGATTTGATAGCCTTTGGTCAGGAAATTACTCAACTCAAGAATTGAGGGCAAGTTGACTTCCAGCTGATCAGCGAGCCAACATGGGTTTGTAAAATACAGGTCATGCCTTGGAGAATCTGCTTGGATATTTTTTTTGAAGTACTGGAGAAAAGAATGCTATTTATATATCCCCTGTAGGCATTTAATAAAGTCCCTCAGAAGATGCTATTGTTGAAGTTCACGGGACTGAAGGCACATTCTTGACCTGGTTAGGAAACTGCCTGAGCAGGAAGAGATAGAGTGTGGATTAAACAAAGTCAAAGAATTGCGGATGCTGGACATCTGAAACAAAAACAGAAATTGCTGGACAAACTGAGCAGGTCTGGCAGCATCTGCAGAGAGAAAGTAGAGTCGACATTTTGGATCCAGTGACTCTTCTTCAGAGTGGGTTTGATGGGCAGGTACTCAAATGGACAGGCTGTGACAAGTTAGAGACAAAAAAAAACTGCAGATGCTTCAATCCATGGTAGACAAACAGGAGGCTGGAAGAACACAGCAATCCAGGCAGCATCTGGTGTCTGAGAGTTTAGGTTCATGCCTCAAGTATTCACTGCATTAATTAATATACTAGAATGTGGAATAGAAAGTCACATATCCAAATCGACCAATCACAATGGTACGGTGTATAATGGTAAACCGTATAAGTGAAAGCTGACAAAGGTTATTAATAGATTAAGTGAATGGGCATCTCAATGTAGGCAAATATGAAAAATTATCCACTTTGGACATAGAAAGGACAGAACAGGGCACTCTCTAAATGGTGAAAAGTTCACCTGACATACAAACCAAAACTGGGGCTAGGCAAATAGATTTTAATGTTACAAGTAGTAACATTGATCGACAAGCTAGATTTTATGTATTCATTTGCAGGATCTGGCTATTGCTGGTGGGGTCGGAATTAGTTAACTTTCTTTAATTGATCTTGAGAAGGCAGTTGTGAGCTGCCTTCTTAAACTGCTGCAGCGCAAACAATGGGTTTTGGAAGGTAATTCCTGGATGTTGACCTAGTAACAGTGAAGGAGCAGTGAATAATTTCAGGTCAGGATGGTTTGAGGCTTGGAGGGGAACTTGAAGGTGATATTCCCTCATTTCTGCTGTCCTCAGCATTCTAGATGGTAGAGGCCAAGGATTTGGAAGGTGCTGTCAAACAACTTGGTGAGTTGTAGCAGTGTATCTTGCAGATGGTTCAAATTGCTTCACGGTGCATTGGTGAAGGAGGGAATAAATACTGAAGGTAGTGTACTGGGTGCTAGTCAAGTGAGTTGCTTTGTCCTGGATGGTGTTGAGCTTCTTGACGGTTGTTAGAGCTGCATCTATTCAGACAAGTGCAAAGTATTCCATTACATTCCTGAATTATGCCTTTTAGATGGTGGACAGGCTTTGAGGAATCAGTGGTGAGTTCCTAACCTCAAGATTCCTAATCTCTAACCTGCTCTTGTAACCACAATATTTTTATAGCTGGTCCAGTTTAGTTGCTGGTCAATGTTAATCCCCAGGATGTTCATATTGGTGGGAGCCATTGAAGGTCAATGATGGCTAAATTCTCTCTTGTTCAAGATGGTTCATTACCTGACACTCTGTGGCGATAATTGCTACTCAATTATCAGCCCAAACTGATTGTTATCCAGGTCTTACTGCTTTTGAAAATGGACTGTTTCATTAACTGAGGAGTCACAAATGATGTTGAATATTTGCAAACATCAATGAACATCCCCACTTCAGACCCTATGATGGAGGGAATGCCATTGATGTAAATAGCTGAAGATGGTCGGTCCTAAGACACTAGAAGTGTAGAAAATAGAAGCAGGAGTAGGCCATTTGGCCCTTTGAGCCTGCTCCACCATTCATCTATGTTCATGGTTGATCATCCAAATCAATAGCCTGCTCCTGCTTTTTCTCCCACATTATTTTAGCCCCAAGTGCAATATCCAACTACTTCTTGAATCATACAATGCTTTGAAATCATTTGCTTTCTGTGGTAGCAAATTCCACAGGCTCAGCACTTTCTGGGTGAAGACATTTCTCTTCATGTCAGTCCCAAATGGTTTACCCTGTATCATTAAACTGTGATTCCTGGTTCTGGACACCCCACCATTGAGAACATCCTTTCTGCATCTATTAAATCTTGTCCCTTTAAAATTCTATAGGTTTATAAAAGATCCCTGTCATTCTTTTGAATTCTGGTAAATATAATTCTAACCAATTCAACCAGTTTTCATAGGTCAGTCCTGCCATCCCAGCCATCAGTCTGGTAATCCTTCCCTGCACTCCAGTTATAGGAACAGCATACTTCCTCAGATAAGGAGACCAAAGCTGCACATAATATTCCAGGTGCGGTCTCTCCAAGGCGTTGTATGATTGCAGCAAAATATCCCTACTCCTTACTCAAACCTCCCACTATGAAGGCCAGCACACCATTTACCTTCTTGACTGTCTGCTGCCCCTGTATGCTTACCTTCAGTGATTGGTGCATCAGGACACCAAGGTCTCACTGCACATTACTCTCTTTCAATTTACAGCTATTCAAATAATAATCTTCCTGTTTTTGCTCCCGAAGTGGATAATCTCATATTTATTCACATCATACTGTATCTGACATGCATTTGCTCAGTCAGTTTGTCCAAATCATACTGAAGCATCTCTGCATCTTCGTCACAGCTCATCCTCCCACCTAGTTTTGTATCATTTGGAAATGTTATATTTATAGTTCACTCACCTAAATCATTAATATATGTTGTGAATAGCTGTGGTTCCCCACTAGTCACTGCCTGCCATTTGGAAAAAGACACGTTTATTTCTATTCTTTGTTTCTTATCCTTTTCAATACACACTCTCCCAATCCATATGCTTTAATTTACACACCAATCTTTTATGTGGGACTTGGTCAAAATAAATGACCAAAAAATTTCCAGGGGAGAATAAATGTTTCTTACCCGATCAACTTTCATAATCTGAAATCTCTGAGAGATATCGGCAGTGTTTGCTGGCAAACGAGATCGCCCAGACACAAAGCGCATGAAAAGAACTCGCTCTTCATTGGAGAATTCCTCCAGTGTCTGCCAGAACCATTGTGTCAACTGATGTTGCTCATCCACCTCTCGATACCGCACAACCTTCTTTAGAACATCTACAGAGATTTCTGGCAGTCCACAAACCATTTGTTCTAACTGCTTAGCAGTAAGGAGAGAAAGCAGGGGAACTGGAATGATCCAAGACATCCCTTCTCGAACTGCAGCTACCTGAATGAGTAGCAAAGAAAAGGCAAACAGAGAGTCAAATACTTGCTAAAGATTAAAAACAAAAGCATATCTGGTTTATTTGTCCACAAGTAATACAAGTTCTGACAGCTAGAGAGCAGACTGGTTGCCTGCTTGTGTAATGAATGGCAACATAAAAAAATTCCAATTAGTGACGAGATGCAAAACTCCAGCCAACAGTTCATCAATTAGTCATTTGGTAGTTCAGAACTTGAGTATACGTAGCTTCCAGTTCCAAACAGCATACACTCTTGGTCTGAAGCCTTGTTCTCGAAAAGCAAGGTATGGCCATACCCAACCAGTCCGTGCTTGCAATTATTCAAAACACAGTTTGCAATATTAGACTTGATTCTGCAATTGGACAACATTTCCTAGACGTCCCGAGTGTATAAAGAATAATGCTGATAACTAATTTGCGATGGCTGAGATCAGTTTGGATATACTGGAAATTACATAAAAAAGGGGTGGGGGTGAGGGTGTGGTGGGGCAAGTGCAGAAATCGGGGTAAACATCCGTTACCTATGGGACCTAAGTTCGAGGTAAGAATCAAGAATTCATGTGGAAACAGGGTGACTTGGAGAGACTGCAAATCTACAACTAGGTGGTCACTGTTTAAAAATAGGTTATGTTTTCTGATATCAGCAAAAGGCTGTCATTACCCTTGTGCAAAGCAGAACGTGCACTTCTCCTGCTAGTACTGTAGTGATGTTATTCTCCCACAATCGCTGATATCTATTATGTTTATTTGGTTGCTGCCTTTTGTTTTAAATTGGCACAACACTTCCCAAAGGGTCCATGCATGCACAATGAGAAAAATTCAGTGGTGTCAGCAAACAGCCTGAGAAACAGGGGATCTTTCAATTTAATCAGAGTTAATGTAATCTTTTCTCAAAGGGTTGCGAGTCTTTGGAACTCTAGTTCCACCCAACTTTGAAAAAAAGGAGAGTTTTAAAATATTTTTTAAAGCAGAGGTGGATAGTTCTTGCTAAACAAGCTGGTGAAAGATTAGCAGGTGTAGGCAGGAACACAATTGGAGGTTACAGACAGTTCAGCCATGATCTTATTAAATGGCAGAGCAGACTCAGGGTGCTGAATGGCCTACTCCTGCTCCTAATTTGTATGTTCATCACATTATTGCACAGCATAAGATCAAAGGTCAATTTTCATTAAAGCCAGATCAACAAGCACTCTTTTTAAAAAAAACGTAGAAAACATCCCAAGTCACGTCAGAAGGAAATAAATATGAGCAAAATTATAATAATCAGAAGAGATGAAAGGAATAGTAGAACACAATAGATATTGTTGTGTAATAATTTCTGAATCCATATTCCAATCCTGTACCAGTTATTCTATCTAACAGGCGCTCTGTGGAAGAAATCAAATTGTGACAGCCATTATTTGATTGGACTAACTTTGGTGATCCACTTACTTGCCGATCAATTTCATGCAGCCGATATTCAATTGCCCTGTCCACATATTCCTTCCTATTGGAAAAGGTGAGTGGGATACTGTTCCCACCTGGGATAATCGGAACCATTTTACCATCAGCACTTTGACCCACAAAAGAATCAAGGGGTATCATCTGAAATACAAAGGCAAGCGTAATTCTTCTACTCAACAAGACTGAAACTTAGTCTTATACAGCAAGTAAGTCCATCAGTTGAATTCTGGATTTTCCATGACGACAGAATCATGTACACAAGATGGCCTTCAGCACAGAGTCTCTGCTGTCAAAAATACAGGAAATCCACACTTTCCAGCATTATGACATTTCAAGTGCTTATCCAAGTACTTCATAAGGTTGAGAGGTTACCCAGCTCAACTATCCTCTCAGCTAGTGCATTTTAGATACCTACCACAAACATTGCCTCCATAAGTATATTTCTTCTGAAGTTTCCTTTATACTTCCTACCTTTCACTTTAAAATTGCATCCTCCTTGTCTTGATGCCTTAAAGAGGATTGGCTGCTTTCGATCCAGCCTGTCCATGCCCTTCAATCTCATACACCTTTTATCAGGTCCCCCTTCAACCTTCCAACAGAAAAAAACCAAGCTTATCTAGAATTATTTTCTGAAGGGTCTCAACCCAAAACGTCAGCTTTCCTGCTCCTCTGATGCTGCTTGGCCTGCTCTGTTCATCCAGCTCTACACCTTGTTATCCAAGCTTATCTGGAATCTTTTCATAGCTAAGATACTCTACTCCAGGTAACGTCCTGGTGATTCTCCACCGCACCTTCTCCAGCCTAATTGCATCTTTTCTATAAAAACTGAGAGAACTGTGGATGTTGTAAATCAGGAATAATACCAGCAATTGCTGGAAAAGCTCAGCAGGTCTGGCAGCATCTGTGAAGAAAAATCAGAGTTAACGTTTCAGGTCTGGTGACCCTTCCTCAGAACCAAAGGCAGCTAGGAAAACGTCAGTTTACATGCAGAAGAGATGGAGTAAACGATAGGTGGGTATGGAGCCCAAAGAGAGAGATGAGCAGTTGGATAGACAAAGGAGTTGATAACGATTTGGCTAGGAGGGTGAATAGCTGTTCATGGGGACTGTTAGTGACTGACAATAGATAGTGTGTATTGGCAGACTATGTGATAATAAGACCTGTGTGTGTGGGATAGGGTGCTAGGACATGGGAGAGTTGAGGCCCTAAAATTGTTGAACCTGATATCGAGTCTGGAGGGCTGCGGGGAAAATGAGGTGTTGTTCTTCCAGTGTGCACTGAGCTTCGCTGGAACACTACAGTAAGCCTGAGACAGAGATATTGGTCAGGGAACAGGGTTGTATGTTGAAGTGGCAAGCAACAGGTAGCTCAGGGTTTTTTTTTGGCGGGCAGAATGTAGATGTTCTGCAAAGTGGTCACCCAGTCTATGTTTCATTTCCCCAATGTAGAAGTGACCACATTGTGAGCAATGAATGCAGTAGACGAGATTCTGGAAAGCGCAGGTGAGGTGTTGCTTCACCTGGAAGGTATGTTTGGGCCCTTGGATATGAGGGAGGGAGGAGGTAAATAGGCAGGTATCGCACGTTTGGTGGTTGTGGGTGAAGGTGGCGTGGGGGGTTGTTGGGAGTGAATGAGGGTGTCCCAGAGGGAACAGTGCTTGAGGAAGGTGGACAAGGGAGGAGGGGAATATGTGCCTGGTGGTGGCAGAAATGGCATCTGATGATCTTCTGGATGTGGATGCTGGTGGGATGGTAGGAAGAGATGGGTTGGACTCACATTTTGAAAGTGTGTGATCACCAGAACTACACACAGTACTCCATCTCTGGCCTAACCAAAGTCCTCCACAAATCCAACATCACCTCCCTGCTCTTATAATAGATATCTCAACTCTGTCTTCTTAACTACCCTATTAATCTGCCTTGACACCTTCAGGGATTTGTGGATAAGTATCCCTAGATCCTTCTGTTTCCCTAAGCTTCCTAGTGTCCTGAGATTCATTGGGTACTACCTTGTCTTTTTCCTTCTTTCAAAGTACATTGCCTCACACTTAGCAGGGTTAAATTCCATCTGCCACTGATATGCCTACCTGACCACTCCATTTACATCCTCCTGTAACCCAAGATGTTTTCCCTCAATGTCAGCCACCTGGCCTATCATTGTGTCATCTGCAAAAATACTTATCATCTCCTTCACATTCTCATCTATTGCTAATACATTGATAATATGGTTTGGAGGTCAAAACCCTCTGATGATTAAAACTGAAACACCCAGAGAAGCTTGGCTCACCCTGTAATCTGTTCAGGGAAATAGGAAAAATGGTATAACTTGCCTTTCACCTCCTAACTTGTAATAAAGGAGATTAAATGAAAGAAATCCCTGCTACTCACTTTATAAGTACAAGTAACAATTTATTTACCTAACTCTAACAGTGAACAAATTAACACACCTACTTAAAAGCTGAACAATTCCCCCTTAATTATTAACTATACCCGAACAGAACAAAATTCTAATGGCACGCTGTTCCAATAAATACAAGTCTCACTTATATAAATCAAAGTAGTAAGAAAAATAAATTAAAACTTAGACTCTCAAAACTAGAGTCAGGATGCGTCTTCAAGGATGTTCTATGCCTTTTCCGCTTTCCTTCAGTCAAGAATTCTTCCTTCGTTGAATCCTTGTATCAAGAATATTAGGTAAGAGTGCTGTGGTACCTTTTAGATGGTGCTTAATCAGACAGCTTAAAGATTTCTGTGAGAGCCAGAGTTTTACTCTTCCAACGAGAGTTTGTGCTCACACATTTTCAAAAACCCTCTCGTTATATATCTGTGATAACCTGCCAATTTTCTTACAATAGGATTGGTCCTAGGTTGTCAACACCATCAGATTTAAATTTAAATTGGGTGATATTCAAGCTGCTTGCCTTAACATCAAAACAAGCCTAGGTTGCTAACCACATGGCCAATTGATACATATGTTTCAACTTCAGAACTATTTGATGCTTGCAGACATTTTTTTTAATCTCCAAGCTTAGGAAAGCACATCATCTCAGAAAGGGACCACACACTCTCCCCTATCATTTTTACAAACAAATTCTAACATTCTATCCTCTAATTCACAAGTACTCTACCCAACTTTGCACCACTTCCACCCCTTAAGAAAACAATGAACCATCATTATGAAAAGATGACTTTTCTTTCTAAATCTTAATGCCATGGTTACTAAATCCATAATACATTAATCTATATTTACTCACTTCATACTAATTTTATATACATATATAACTGATCACTATCTTCTGTGCACATTTCCCTTTTAAACCTGCGATAATGCATCTGCAATAACATTTTTATGATCTGCAACATGTGCAATCTGTAAATTAAATACTTGTAAAGAAAGACTCCAAGGAAATAGTCTGGTACTCTCGTCCTAAATCTTTCCAAAAATGTCAAAAGTTTGTGATCAGTATACACAACCGTCTCAGATACATTGTTCACAACATAAACATTAAAATGTTGTAACGGCAGTACCAAACTCAAATAACTGTTTTTCAACAGTTGAATATTTTCCTGATGGTTATCGAGTTTATTGGAAAAATAATCGATTGGCCTTTTAATGCCAGTCATCCTCCTGTAACAACACCGCTCCAACCGCTACATTGCTTGCATCAATAGTGACTTTAAAAGGTTTCAAGAAAATTGCATGGCTAAAACTGGTGCAGTGGTTAATACTGCTTTTAAATTCTCAATTGTCTCCTGGCAATTGATCTGTCCACTGATATTTTGTGTTCTTCTTTATCAAATCCATCAGTGATGCCACCATGCTACTAAAGTTGGTACGAATTTCCTGTTGAATCTGCTCAGTCCCAAAAAAGCATTGCACTTCCTTCGTCGAGGATGGTCTTGGAAATTTCTTGATGGCCTTCGTCTTGACGTTCCTTGGTATCATCCTTCCATGTCTGATGTTGCGTCCTAAGAACGTCACTTCTGCCTTCGCAAATTCTGTCTTTGCTAAATTTATGACCAACTTTGCCTTCCGTAGTCTTTCATGGAGCTCTGCCAAATGCACTGTGATCTTTCCATGAATGGCTAAAAATCACTAAGTTATCTATACAGAGGACACAATTAGTTAATCCTTCCACAACGTTGTTCATAAGTCTTTGAAATGTGGCTGGAGCATTCTTTATTCCAAAGGGCATCATTTTAAACATATACTTGATACAGCCCATTTGGTGTTACAAATGCAGAAACTTCTTTTGCTCTCTTCGACAAATGTATTCGCCAGTAACCACAAAATAAATCTAACTTTGTGATGTAAATGGCTTGCCCAAATTTTTCCACAGTCTTCCAGGCTTGAAATTGGGTATAAGTCTGATCTAGTCACAGTGTTGACCTTCTAATAATCCAACCAGAATTGTTGAATACCATCAAGTTTGGGGACCAACACATTGGGCGAACTCCACTTGCTTTGATCTGGCTCGATGGTGTCTTCTTGGAGCATCTTTCTTTCTGTACCTGTGCTGCTTTGAGAGGATTACGTCTGTTTTATTGGAACAACATTCCCTCCATCCACTTCATGTACTACAGGCATTAGTCTTCCCCATTCTATTTCTACATGTGTCCACAGAGCTGCAACATGATTATTCAATTCAGTTTTCTGTTCCTGAGACAGATAGCTTTCTACCCTATCCTATTCTTTGAGGACTTCCTCATTATCTAATTTATTATGAGGCACATCAAAATCTGAATTATTTGGATTTGATTCCTCCCTCCGAGTGGCAGTAACTAATACCTATTTCTCTGGTTCCCTGGCCTCGTCATATTAAGGTTTCAGCATATTCACATGACATACCTGACAATCTGACATCTTTACTAGATAATTCACCTGACTTAACTTCCTTTCAATCTGATTGGGACCACTAAACCTTGCTATGAAGGGGTCTCTTACCACTGATAACAGCATCAATACTTTATCCCAAAGTGCAAACGTCCGGTTTTTAGATTTCTTATCTGCTTCCCACTTCATTAGATGCTGTGCCACCTTCAGATGTTGTCTAGCTAATTCACCTACTCTGTTTAATGTTTCTTTTGCCTCAGATTCATAATCCAAATGTGATATCTGACTTCAGGCAATCAACTTTTCCTTAATTTTAAAGGCCTTCTTACTTCGTGTCCGAATATCAATTCAAATGGAGTAAAATAAGTCAATTCAGTTGGACCTTCTTTAATAGCAAATAATATAAATCAGATACTGGTTATCTCAATCATTTACGTATCCTGGCAATAAGCCCTCAGCACAGTCTTTAGGGTCTGATGCCACCTTTCAAATAATCCCTGGGATTCAGGATGGTATGCACTCGATATAAAGCGTTGGATGCCTAAACTATCCATGACCTCCTTGAATAATTTGGCAGTAAAATTGGACTCCATGGGCAGTCCGTAACAGGTAAAGAAAGCAAGCAACTCCTCCACAACCTTGACATTCTGCAATGGAATTGCCTCAGGGAATCTGGTTAGCAAATACTAGTTCCCACTTTTGGTTTTAGGGAAGGGACCTACACAATCAATCATAATGTGCATGAAAGGTTTTTCA